ACTTTTACTAATTTATGTATGTAATATTATTATGCATATATTTATAATTTCTATAATAGAAAACGTTCTAAAATTCTTTATATGCATTATATATAAAGAATTTTATATATACCTATACAAATTATTTCAATATTATTGATAAAGTTATCTGTATGTGTTTTTTTGAAATTAGGAATAAGAATTTATTTATCTTCTCGATAATCTTATGAATAAAGATTAAATGGTGATATTAAAATAATATTAAAATTATTAATAAATAATTATTCATCATTTGAAAATATATTTTTATAAATTATTGATTAAAAATATATATCAGACATAGTAAAGAAGAACCAAAATTTTAAAGTCCATTATCAAATGTTTCATAATTCATAATTATTCATATAAATTCAATTTCATCACAACTTATATTCCACCTCATATTAAAATAAATGGAAAATATTAATGTAAATATGATAATATAAATTGAAGGATATACTTACTTGTCATTTTTATATCCGTTTCATGACATATTCATTGTCTACTTAAGCGTTTTGGGATAATAATAACTATTTATGTTTATTAACTATTTCTTATTTATGTTATGAGTTTATGAGATTTTGAAGTAAAGGGATAATTTTGAAGTAATTTATATTTAATTAGGTATATATATATACATATATACATTATTTTTAGAAAAAATTAGTAGAAATTAATGATTGTCAATTCACTTAAAACTTTTAGAAATTATATATAAACACATAGGTGATATAATATATGTTAATTAACATTATTTAACGGCATTAGAACCTTAATATATTGATATATTATAATATATCTTAATATATCTTAATAGATGTTAATTATATTATAAAGTATCTAGATTTGTATTAAATGAATATTAAGTTTGTTTTCATAAATATGAAACTCATTTTATTAGAAGAATGAAATTATCTTATAAAATTAAATGTAAGTATAAGTAAAAAATTAATAGGAATAAATATAATTAAAATTAATGAGTAATTTTTTAAATATTCTTATTTTAACAAACATTGAAATGATATTAAAAAAATATGGCTAATAGTAAACATAAAACATAGTTAACCACACATATTTTAATTTAATGTTGCAAGGTAATTTATAATTTATTAAGTCATCTATTTAATATAGTATTTAAAAATTAATATTTATTTATTATTTAAAATCATATATTTATTTAATTAAAGTAAATGTAATTAAAATTTACAGTTTTATAAATTTAATATATTTCAATTTTATGTTAATACAATGTGTATTTTTACAAACATCGAATTGAAATATAAGAAAATTTTGTCACATGAAATTTTTTATTGGTCTTTAAGATTTGAACAAATTAGTTAATTGTTTTAAAATTATAAATTAGAAAATTCTAATTTTTAATTATATTTAATAGATAATAATAATAAAGCAGAATAGAATATTGTTAAATTGTTAAATACTCGCTTACGTAATCAGGACTTATAATCGGAATTTGTGATTGTGACCAATATTTAAAATGTTTCGTTGTTATTTGTATTACAATATTTTATGTTAAATTAAATTGATATTATTTTATTTTTTAATTATATTTTTTTATAATATTAATATCGATTACAATACAAATTTTTCAAAATACACTATAAGGTAATGATATACATCTTATTTATATGCCACTAATAAATGTTGTTGTACAATGTATTTCATTTTAGATTTGCAATCTAATGAATGTGTTTATGTATTTGTATTCTTTTTTAATAATATAGAATTCATTTGTTCGAAATATAAATAAAGTAAAAAATTCAATTATATGTTTGAAAATGTACGAAATCTCTTCTTTTTATTGAACTGTATATAGAACGAACAATATCGTAATCGTTTAGATCTGTATATTTTGCCATCGGCCGTGATCTTGAGAACTAGAGAAAAAACCATGTACGATCGTCGACATATAGACACATCTAGCTACGCAAATATGCAATGATTAATATATTCAGTATATATCATAAATATTAATTGTATGTTTAGAGATTATTTGTATTTTGTTGTATTGTAAATTATATTGTTGTAAAATCATAATACCTTGAATTAATATACTTAGTACGTCTGATTAATTACATGAATATTTAGGTCTGCAAATTTGTTTAGCTTAAAATAAATAAGTAATAAAGTTTTGAAATTTGTAGCAAATAGATCCACTTTTAAACTCTATTTAAATTTATTTTAACTATTGAGTAAAAATTTTGGAATATCAATTATAAAAGACTCTTACAAATATTTTATAGTATTCAACTGCAATAGAAAATCTCAGTTTTGAGAGACATGGCGAATTAATTAATAGATACAAACTATTTTATTATTCAGTTGGTATTGCATGATATTTTCTTAATTGTTTATAATAATTAATATGTTGGAATGACATTGAGTAAAGTTTTACTCCCTAAGTATTTATTATTTCACTGAAAAATTAACAATTTAAACAGAAAAATATGATAATTTTTCGAATAATGTCCGAATACGTTATTGGTGAAATTTATAAAAATTATAGAATTTATAAAAAACTATATTTTTAAAAAATCTGAGATTTAGTAGTAATTTGTTTTTAATATCTTCAGATTCTCTGATAAATTCGAATTATTATTTTTCATTATTCATTACTCATCTTCTAGTTTTTGTAAATTTATCTCTTACTGCTATTATTTGAATAATTCATTTGAGTATTTTAATATACTAAAGATACAAAAGTGAATATTCGTGAATGTTGAAAAATAAATATTTATCAAAACTACAAGTAAATCTAATAAATTAGATTAATAATGAAAGCTTAGATTTGTAACATTAACTTATATTTAATTAATTATTTTTATTGTCCTTAGATTACAATTAAAGATATTGAATAAAAGTGTGCTGTAAAATTCCTATGCCTTTATCAATTACTCACCAATTTCTATTATCCACCATATTTTTTCACTATCCAGCCGATGATCAATGTTCTTACACAGTTTTTATATCTACTTAGAATCTATTTAATAAGATAGAAATCATCGGTCGAATATAAATTTTTTAATTAATTATTTAGTATTATTTAATAATTAAGAAATAAATAATAGTTTTAATTTATTTCTAATGGATGGGTCTTCCAAAGTTTATTGTGTATATATTTTATATATTAATATATTGAATAATTTAAAAATGAGAAGAAGAAAAATGAAATTGATTCTAATAATTTAAGAAAAGAGGTTATTTAGCAAGTATATTTTATTGTACCTTCATTACATTTTTTAAATAGATATGTTTTAATATTCTATTTTCTTTTTCATTTAGTCCCAATGTATATGACAGATGCGACTGTTTATGATATTTCAAAAGAGGGTACATGGTTCGTTTTACTCGCAAACAGACAGTTTTCAGATATTGTGTTATAATCTCAATAATCAAATACATTGATACTATTCATTGGCCTAATAACTATCAATGTACTGATCAAATTCTTATAAAAAAGTATATATATGTTATCAAAATATCAAGTGTCGTTTTACGATATGAAAAATTATTAAATTTATTTCTCATCAATTTTAATTTGCGTAAAGTAGATGTTCTAGAACTGTATGGAAAAATGTATAAAATATATTTTCTATAATTTTAGTATAAAGAATTGAACAATAACAATATTGATAAAATAGCAATTAGCTTTTTTTAATTTTTTAAATATTATATTCATATTTTCTGAATATAATAATGAATATTGTTATGATTATTTTGGCTATTCTTTTAATATAATGAATTTTAGCTTATTTAAGCAACTTGCACTGAAATTATAATAATATATTTATGAAAATTAATGACCGACTGTATATTATAATATTAAATTCAATAAATAATCGAATTATTTTTAAATTAAATTGTTCTATTTCTTAATATTTTCAATATGCTTTATATTAAAATAATTTAAGGCTAAAAATATCAATTTTTTAGGATGGATTTGTGATTTTAAAATTATAATCAATTATCATAGATTTGCATTGCTATTTACTGCTAACTATTATTATCTTTGAAAGAAAATAAATTATTTTTATTTGGTTAGTATAATATTGTCAATATCACTTTAATGTATTTTATTACTCTTATTTGCTTTTAACTTTTATGTTCAATAACTTATCATTATATTATTTATTTATTATAATAATGTTTTCTTTTTATTTTTCATGAAAGATTATTTATTTAATTTAAATTCTTTAGTGTTAATAATATAATTTTAATTACTCTAAAATATTACTGTAGATATTTACTTTTTGATCCTATTTTTTGAGATTGTTCCCATATAGAAGTTTATGTGTCTACTCTATGAAATGTACAAAATTTTTGTATAGAAATAAAAAATTTTTTAAACTATATTTTTAATAGTATGTTATATTATAGGACTATAATTTTATAAAATTCGAAATTATTAAATACTTTATTAGTTACTTGTGTCTTATTATACATATTATCAAAATGTATACATTAATATTTCAACTGACTTTTTCTTATTTAATAAACAAATCTTGATGCGTACTGAAATTTATAATCCACTTTATTTGAAATAATAAGTATTTAAATATAAACGATTGTTTAAATATAAATTATTTAAACATTTCGTATTTTCGTAATACAAAAAAAGTAGAGTAGTTCGACTGTCGACAAACCTCTGTCGAAAAGGTCAAAAAAAGGGAATTGAAATAATACGATTATATTTGTATAATTGAGGATGAAATTATTTTTTCAAATGTACCACAAATTATTTTTTAGAATATAATTTAAATGGTTATGAAAATATCGTAAAAATACAACTATGCAAGTATTTTGCAAATTGCTGTACGAATTGAATGATAAAATAATATATATTTTTATATTTGCAATTATAAAAACAATAAAATGTCAAATGTGCAAGTGGATTTTTTATATTAATTGCGAAAATTTACCAAGTTGAAAAATGATTAATGATATAAATTAATCTTATGTTCTAGGCTGTTCACGTAACCGATCTACTTCACCTTATCGACATGAGCGGGATGTATTAGGAAGCTCTCAATTACGTGTAAATACAGAAACTCAAGTGCACCTCGGCTATGGAACTACTAATTCCAAGGTTGACTCAAGACGAGTAAGTCACATTCCGCATTTAAATTCATAAAAAACAGGCATTTATATAATAAAGTTTATAATAAATTTTATAATAAAGTTATTTATAAAACGAAATGTATTTATTTAATAATAAAAACTAAACTATAAAAAATGTATTTAGTAAAAATAAAAATTCAATTTATTAATGAGTACGGTTTTTAGCTATTAAAAAATATAGTTTGAAGAAAAGCCTGTAATTTTTTTATTACTATACAGAGCACATGAAAACTGAACTATGAAAAGTAATTAAAATATAAAATTATAAATATTTTATTAACAGTAAGTTTTATGATAATTTCTTAATAATTTGTAATATAATAATAATTGCAAGTTCAAATAATATTTTTGTTTAATATTGGACATACACCTCTTATGTTGATGAACCCGTGATTTTAGTTCTCGGGTGTACACAAAAAAATGCATTCTAATTGCAAGTACTAATTAATTATGATATTCATTCGTGTTTGATCTTAAAATTTCATGAATATGTGAAAGATTAAAAATAAATAATTTTAACCTATTTGAAGTAATTAAATTCATTAAGTTTTTTTCTTTTAAATATTTTACATGAAAAATAAATTATAATATTTATATTATTAAAAATTTTTTACATTATCAAAATAAAAATAAAACTCAGAAGAAGTATGTAAAAAAATTCAGTAAATTAAAATTCTAAATAGGACATTTCAATAAAATACATTATCTGATTCTTTTTTTTACAGGCAAAAAGTAACCAGTTACTAGTATACATTTGTGAATTATATTTAATGAATTTTTATTATTAAAAAATGTTCAGATCTATATTCTCTCTATATTTATTTCCTAAAAATATGAGTTTCATTGCTCGTAACTTATTCTTTGTTACCAATATTTTATTTAATTACTCATTGTTATTGTTTTCGCTATAAACGTATCATTAATAAAAAAAAAATACAAACAAATAATAAAAAATTAAAACTTGATATTTTAATATCAATTTTAAATCTGTATTATTATTCTTATGTATTATATCGAAAGTTATTCAATGTTTTAATTGAATAATAATTAATGTATTAATTTTATAGTAAATTTAAATATATTAAGTTTAATATTCAGTTTAATGGATTTTCTATTTAAAATTCTTTATTTATTTAAAATACTAAATATAATAAAATCATAATTTTCTACTGTACACAATGTATTATACATGCAATCAAATATACATATTTTAATATTTCTAAATAAATATATACGCTATTATTGCTTCTTCATTAGGTGATATATTTACTTATGTATTTATAAAGTACGCATTTACATATAATGTTATTCTCATTTAATTTTTAATTTTTAATATTAGGATACTGATGATTAATAATGTTTATATTAAGTAGTATTTAAATTATGATTTGTGGCGCAGAATATATTGTTAGTCAATAAATATGAGTTCAAATAATCAGATTTTAATTATTATTCTATGTTTAAATAAGATTCTCGTTATACTATATTTTATAATCACCTTAATAATTGAAACTAGATATAATTATTATAGAAATTACAAAAAATTATTTTTTAATAAATATTTTACAATTTTTAATAATTCTTAAAGTATCATATTAATATCTTATAATATTAATAAGATTATCAATACGCGAATAAAATAATATTTATGTATGATGTACTTGTTTGTGGTAAATAAATTATAACTGGTGGTAAAGTTTTCAGTCGCAGAATCACGAAGGTTGTACAATGAGAACATAAACAAATCTGAGAAAGGCAGTATTTTATCAAGTAGACCTACTGGTGCCGCTGCCTATGGTTCTTTTATTTTCGAGTTGAAAGATGCGTACCACGAAGCAAATGGGATGTGCGATTTCATATTTCGCGGTCTCAAAGTCTTGAGCAAAACTATGTTTGTCATCGTTCTCCTCGTCATCTTTTCCATAATACCTATTCTTATGTTCATAATTGGTAAGTGAATTTTTATTAACATTAATAGATTTAAATTTTGAATTAAATTTAGTATTGAAAATTTGTTGTTAAAAATGAATTGACATCAGGGTATCTAAATAAATAGTTGAATTGAATAAATAGTTGAATTTTAATCAAGTTAAACGCATACATTTACACAGTATTATAAAGTATCTAGTACAAATTTTTTTGATTATTTATCCAAGAATAGATAACGCAAAATTATATCATAATTACATATTTTATAAACATCTTGCATTTTATACAGATGAACTTGCACACTTGATAGTTTTAAAATTTTATTTACAATTTCTTATCCTATATTATAATCGAAATGTATAAATTTTAATTTATATATCCATAATTATTATATAATATAGTTTCATCTAATTTATTATTTCGAGCAACAAATGTAATTAGATCCTTATATATATATATATATATATATATATATATGAGCAGTAATCCAAGTATTTCCGTAGCCGCAGCATCCGCGCAGATGCTTTTCGGATACAATAATGCGAAAGTGTTATGCACATCAAAGTCATTAAGGGCTCAATGAAGTATAGCACGATTAAGCTTCGTGATAGCGATGGTTTGAAAAAATTCAGTTACAATTTAAATGAAGATTGCTTGCACCACAAAAGTATTTGGTTATTTTATTTAAAAAAAGGCGATTTGTGAAACTTATAAAGTTTTATATATAATATGTAAAATTCTAGGGTTAGGCAAAAATATCTATTAATTATAAAAAATATTAAACGATCTGCAAAGCTTAGGTAAGATAGTACATATTTTTAGATTTGAGTAATCAATTAAATTTGATAATATTTGCAACATATTATTGTATTGTAACACGACGATTTATTCACAGGCTGTAGATTGCTTAAGGAAGTCGAAGCTAAGTCATTAAAGTAGTGAAACGATTAATAAAAACTTCAAAGAGACTTCAAATAATAAAAACAAGAATGTTTTAGTAATTAAAAGAAGTTAATGGATTGTTTGGCTTTATATCCTCCATAAAGCTACTTTATCATTTTAACTTTCAAAAATATATGTTCAATGCTAAACAAGTATCTATTTTTATTTGATATTTTCCTATAATTTTCATATGGATGAAGTTTTGAACTATATGGTTTGCGTCTAAAAACGATAATAGCCTACAAATTTATTCTTATTTTAATAGTAATTAAAAATTATTTTATTAAGAATAATTTTACCTAAATTTTAAAATCACTACTTAATATTAAAGCATAAATATCAAGATAAGAAGTTGAATTCATGATTATAATATAACATATGTAATTTGTAATGCAACATTATTGACTTCTCATTTTCATATACAGATCTTACTATATCATAAGTCATTTATAACTATTAATATTTTATTATCTTACTATATAATAATAGTACTTAAATTCCAATAGTGGAATTAAGTTATTGTATGAGCTATAAAATTATTCGAAAACAAATAAAAATTATAAAAAAATATTAATCAACTATTTTCAGTAAATACTATATGGTACATACATCTATAAAATCCTAAAATTATTAAAACTAATTTTAATAAATGGTGAATTAAATATTTATTTATTAAAAATATGTTAATCCTGCATATTCCTATACTTATACGTATCTCTGTTTATATGATTTTATAAAACTTATATATTTATTATATTATAATTTATAACAATTGTTATATTTGTGTTAAAGAATCTATTTATTGGTTCAATAATTTTTTATTATGATCAATCGAGAAACAGTAAAGTAATTGATATAAATGAAGCGATAATAAGAATTTGTGTCACCTTTTCTAAGAATCCGGTAATGATATTACAATAATACATCGTACAATGCAATCTTTTATAGAAGTATTACTTTACGTTGGTGGTCGCGTGTTCTCAGATCTTTAATCGAAGACTAAACTAGGACAAGCAGACCCCATATCAAATAATATAAAATTGCTATTAATTTATTTCGCTTAAAGGGTTGAATTACAAATGAAATTTTCAAGCACGAGAAACTACATTATTCAATTGTCAATCGATTTATTTTTCTATTGTATTGCTACTTTATTTATCTATTTGAAAAATATTTCATCTATCGAGTTTTCATCAATAAAAACAGATCATGACTAGAATAATCAATATAAAAATAAAATATTTCCTTACAAAAGAAGTTATGTAAAATTGGTTATTTATTACATACAAGTAACTTTTGGTTTATATAAATGCATTAACTCAATAATTTTAGATTAAAATTGTGAAATAGAAGAAAGTTAAATAATATTCTATTAATAAAATGTTAAATGCTATAAAAAAATTTATATCAAATAGAGGTTTCAATTATTAAAATAAATAAATATTTTTATTTTATTAAATTTAATAAATATTATAAATATTTATTTGATAATTGTAGAATTATCAGTGGGAGCATGATGACGGAGTAATAGAGTGAAGAAGATATTTGAATAGATGCGGGATGCGGGACGGTAATGGAAAAAAACCGAATGATTATGGTATAACTTGGACGATAATGAGAGGGGTGGAATTTAATCCGCTTTTTAGATCGCAAAGTATAATGGCCTTCACTATCGTGATAACAGTCTTGTCAACGATTTTGTACTAAAATCACAATATATATGCAAATATTATTTTTTAGCCATAAGTAATATTTTTTCTTTGCTTCGTTTCTGTTAAATATTACAGAATTATATGCACATACTATTTTTAAATATTATAAATATACGAAACATTTTATTAATCATATTTACTACTTTTAAATATCTATAATCAGTTCACGTTTTGTTTCCATTAAAAAATGATCATATTTACTATTTTTATTATTATTCCTTTATTTAATAAGTTTAATAATTAACTAAATTTGAAATTTCTATTTTAAGTGTTTCTAATAAATGTGTTCGAAAATGTGTTTGATTTTTTGGCTCAAACTGCCAAATTCGATAGTTCAGTTAATTTGACGCCCGCCTTAGCGATGCTTAGGTGAGGACTTATGTGAAAGGACTATAGAGATGTACAGTGTGTGCAAACTTCGTTAAAACATAGTATATTTTGGTTTAATGGCAATTATATTATTGTTGATTCTGAATTCACTTCACATGGGAGAATGTCAACTATGTTCTATCACAACAATGTAGTTGCTGCTTGGTGATGGCGACGATGTCGTTGATGAGGTTATAGGGATCAGCAATGGATTGTGTATACTGCTTAAAAGGGAATATACCTTGGTTTTGTGATCTGTGTTAACGTTGTAATTATTAGCAGGAGAGCCGACCATACTCATTAAGGGAGTATAGAATTAATTGAGTTGTTAAGATACCTTCAATAGAGACTATTGGTATACCTTCGTATGAACGAGTAGTCCGATACCATACTTCTTGTAGTCGACTATTTCCTTGTACTGTAGTCAGCATCTTTGACTGGTTGTTAACCATTACGCACTGGAGAATTGAAGTGCGTTATACAAATGTAATAGCTACACTGAGAGAGCGTGATCGTGTGACGAGCTCACGGCTGTAGACTCCGGCTTAATAGCGTGGCTGAAGCGTAGATGACTGACTAGGATGAGTAATTGACTCGGAGGAATAAATGACGATGTTTCTTGATGCACGCTTCTTAAATATCCACGCGGCAGCTAAGTTAGCTGGCAACAATGCTCAGGTGTTGCTATGCGGAGACTAGGCAGACTTGCAGAACGTTCGAGAATTTCTAGGAATCAACGTTTACACGTTTGAGAACTGGAAGGCTTATAAAATTATGATTAAACAAAAGTCTTGGAAAATGTTCCAGTTCCGAACATTCCGCCCGCCATCATCAATTTAGTTAATAATTATTTCTTTCATCAGGAATTGGTAGCACTGCAAGTTTGTGTATTGGTTTCACCATGGTGGTAGAAGCTGTTTTTAATGTCACTACTCTTGTTAGCTCATCCTTGCTGGGATATATGTCGATTACTCGAGCTAGGGGACGTTTGCAAGGAGGGAAGGGCTCATCGGTGATGTGTACTAACCAAACCAATCTTAATGTCATTATGTGCATGATGCCATTTGGAAATTGATTGTTGTCGTTGTAAATAGTGACCAAATCGTTGTACACGTTGTTGTAAAAATTGACAGTTCCTTGAGAGACGGTTCGAGAATAGTTGTGAGCGAGCTCCCTATAAGGAAATGTCCTGGGGTGAGTGCCGCAATATCTTCGGGGTCGTCACTCATTGGCCCTAAAGGCTTTGAATTGAGTATTGCCTCGATTTGAGCAAGTAAGGTAGCGAAGTCTTCAAAGGTGAGCAAAGATTCTCCGATAGTGCATCTTGGATGGTGTTTTACTTTTACCATAGCTTCCCACTTACCTCCCATGTGGGGCGTTGCGGTTGGTTGAATTCCCATTGAGTATTGTCTTATAGCATAATACTTCCAATTTGTTGCTGTTCGAGGGTGCCTTGAACGAACAGTCTTTTGAAAGCTGTATTAGCTCCAATGAAGGACGTTCCACAGTCTGAGTATAACGTTTTTGCAAGTCCTTGGTGAGCAGTGAATTGTCTGTATGCGGAAATGAAACGAGTGGTTGTATGATCAGAGACTGCTGGGGTGTACCTCTCATATGGCAAAACACAGAAAAATACAAATCCAGGCCTTGTAAGTTTTTGCACCTCGCCCCCTCTAGGTTTTCATGGTTATAGGGCCAGCATAGTCAACTCCTGTGTGAGTGAACATGATGGTGTCCATCTAGAAACAGGGAGTTGGCCCATAAACCGATTTGCACGGATTCCCCTTTGCCCAACGCATACAACGCAGCATTAGATATGTGCGATGGGGCCAGCATAGTCAACTCCTGTGTGAGTGAACATGATGGCGTCCATCTAGAAACAGGGAGTTGGCCCATTAACCGATTTGCACGGATTCCCCTTTGCCCAACGCATACAACGCAGCATTAGATATGTGCGATTACAGGGAATCTCCCACCAAGAAATCCAATATTGTTGATAAATGTATGCTAACATGAGTTACATGCCTCTGTAGAGAGTTCGTAGGTTTGCATGATCAATGACGAGGTTCGTGAAGTATGAATGTCGGGGGAGAATGACCGGGTGCTTGTTTTCCTGGGTGATTAAAGATCTGTCGAGTCTTCCACCAACTCTAATTATTCTCTGATTGTCGACATATGCAGTTAGTCTACTGAATGCACGAGTTTTTGGTAATTGAGCCTTGGAGCGTATAACATTTAGTTCGTGTGAAAAATATGTCATTTGGGCCGCCTTTATCCAGAAGATCCTTACCCTTTCCAAGGTATCAGTGTGTTGGGAACTGTCTGATTTCTTAAATAGCTGTAATTTACCACCCGCCCCAGCGGATGCTTGGGAAGAAGTTAAGTGGATGGGCTGTAAAAATACAGTATGCGCTTCTTCGAAAAATATGGTTTATTTACAGTTACACTATTGTTTGGTTGGATTTATATGTTATGGAAAGATATAAACTATATTCAGTTACGTCGTTGCAGTTGCTATGAACTGATATTGTATTAAATAAGATATATACAGGTGATGCTCCTTGATGATGATTTGTTGTTGACTTTGTAATTTATATAATAATAATATAATATAATATAATATAATATAATATAATATAATATAATATAATATAATATAATATAATAATGTAAAAAACAAGGGTTAATGCACTGATTCAATAAGTAACACATATAAATTTTACTGCTGTTTATTCCATTTATTTCAATTTAATTCCAAGTTGGGATGATTAATCGTGATGAGATTACAAATGACCTTTATATTTCTTAATAATCTTGTGGCGTTGTGATGTATTTTTATTGGAGAACTAGAGGATGATCAATTTCTTAGTCTCTGGAAGCTACTGTTGAGATTATTATTTACAGTGAAAAGAAATAGGTTATAATCTATTGAATATTATCACTTTCGAGGTTATGATCGTTTGTAGTGCTCTGACCGAACACTACAATTCTTGTTTGTATCGTAACTTGTTGCAGTTGCCTCTGAACAATAGACCGTGTGAGTGAGCACGTGTCTAAAATACAGGTTATGCAGAACTGTGCGCCACCAGTGTGACGTCAACAGCTGGTTTTGCCCTTTGAGCATGCGCGGGAAGCTTCTGTAGTCGGATTAACGATAGTCCGTTTTCAGAGTAAGCCGTGAGATAAAGAATCAGCACTAATGGTCAGGACTTACTTGCAATTGTAGTGTGATGCTTCCAGTTTCTCCTCACAGGCTTGATGAGAAGTTCCCTTTCAATACTTGCAGCTCTTAACTTCTTTCTTGTCTCCTTGCTGAGATGACAAGAATCTCTGTACATATTCTATCAGAGTTTGGTGAGACCAGCAATAACTGTATATTGAAACACAGCCATAGAAAGACAGTTTACAAAACTCAGCTGAACGACTTTGTCTCTGGTCCTCTACCAGAGAATGAGTCGTGACTTATACATTCAATGCCAATAAGAAGAAGAATATGAATAAGTGGAATGAATAAGAATATGAATAATATAAATAAGACATTACATTGTCCTTCTTAAATAGTTCACTGACCCAGTTGGTGAAACATTTGCACGCATTCGACTTGTTTTTTGCTGCCGAGTAAGCTGACAGAATTTTATTCACAGATACCTAGTAGCTTTTTGATACTGATCTTGTCGAAGGTAACGACCGCACTGTAGATCTGGGAGATTGTGTCATCATCTTGGTTTATTTTAGTGCTCTTAGTCGCGTTGTTAGAAACGTCTTTAGTTGATCGAGGCGCGATTATAAGGTGGACGTGCCAAGTGATGGCTCCCATAATTCCATCGAGAAATTGTCTAGTTGTTGGGAGATTTGATATACTAAGATATAATTCTACAAATCTTCTGTGATATCCATTGATAGAATATGTTAATTGCTTCTTCCGAACTAATAACGGGATTTGCAAATGTAGCTGCGTCCCATTGATTGGATTTAAAGGGGGAGGGGGTGGATCTTACTGAGATTTGAATGAATCGATAGTGGCTTGTTAATACAACGTTCAGTAAATAGCTCCTGAGGCTAATGATTCCTTTGTTAGAGGGGGTTCAGTAATTAATTGTTCTACTGGCCCTTCTAATAAGGTGCGGAGATAATGCATCTTTTCAACTTTGGTAATGTCATTGTTTTTCATGACCAATGCCGTGAAGAGGTCGCTGAATCCACACCAGTCTTCCTGCCTTCCACGTCGTCGTGTATTGCGAAGATTTCTCGAAATAGATATTATTTTCAAAACTTCGTGATCATTCTTAGCAGCTGGCCAAGTCATCTCCATATACGTGTGCTCTTTGATGAAGGCCTTGTGGATCTCGTCCGTGTGTGAGTATGCGTTAGTCAATTCTTCGAGAGTAACATCGTGGTGCGATGAAGTGAATCTCTCAGCCAGATTCTTCAATATTGTTATATGATTTTATTGTGTTTTTAATTTGAAAATGAGCTCCATGGGCAATTGTACAGATAAGGCACTTCGAAGTGTGCCTTCCCTTGCTGGTGCGATGGTAGTTTTAGGAATCTTAATATTCTTTGTTTCCATCGCAGCTTCCTTGGTTGCCATATATATTGGCGTATACTACAGAGAGGTAAGAGATCGAAGCTCTCCGGATACTTATGTAGTTACCTTTATAACTACCTATGTAGTTATCTTTCTTATTACTTATTGGTAGAAGTAAATGTGAACGGTTGTAATTGAGTAATTACAATAAGTATGAAAAAATAATATGTAAAATACTACTCAGATAAATATCTTCTTTATTCATTCTTTGATTCTTTAGAAATTAGTATTGAAAATAAATATAAAGTTTAATCTAATTTATTCATTATATAAATATTATAATTCTACAAATTGACTAAATACTCGATATTTTAACAAACCATTTCAAATCTTTTGATTAAAATCTGTAAATAAATGCTCAGGTCAATTATCGTATTTTCACTTTTATAGTTAAGATTCATGAATAACGATGAATGTGTTCTTAAATTAATTTTATTCATTCAATACAAATCATTAATGTAATTTAAAAAATTTTCAACTACAATTTTATTTTTATTTGTTTTCTTCCATACTAAGCATACTACATTATATTGAGTAATTATAACATTTTTTTTATATTTAAATTATTTTGATATATTCTAAATAGAATATATTGACATATACTAGTATTATTTATATATATAAGTATTTTTTATTAAACGATATTTTATTTCAAAATTTTGCTTTATATATTATTGTTATTAAATATAGATTATATTACTATTATATATATTATTTTTAGCTATAACTTATTTAATAGTCAAAGGGAATCTAATTGTTGTTTCATTTATATAAGAGATATTTTCAACTCAGATTTTCTTATTTTGAAGAAATAAGAAAATAATTACATTGTGTTATTTATTTGAACTTTACATTTTTTATTAAAATGAATAAGGAAAAAGGTTCATAAGTCTTTTTCTTTAAATTCTGTACTCTAATAAATACAAATATACCATTACGATATTTACTACTAGATATTCTCTATTTATTGTTTTATCTATTCCTTTCGATCTTAAAAATTATCTTTATAATTCAATCTAACAAAATATCTAATAATGTTTTCATTGTGTATAATTAATTCTTAAACATTTTTTGAAATTCTTTCGAGTATTAATTGATATTTACACAAAATATCAAATTGTAATGTCGAACTTTCTAGTTAAAGCTCTATTAATATATTTTAATTATAAGTATATTTTCATGTTTCATTTATAATATTGCATTTAGATTTAGTAAATTTGACACAATTCTGAAATAAAAGTATTTCCTCTCGTTTATTATAATATACAATATATAAATTAATACGATTATTTGTTGGAATAGTTATAAGTTAGATGAAATTAGTAATTTATAGTTTAGAAGAATTTATATGTAGTAGTATGTAAAATATTTAAATTTATATTTTTTGCCATAATACCGTAAATTTTATGAGCAAGGTTATGTATAATCATTATCAAAGTATTTTAAAAAGATATTACACATAAAAATTCGATACTGATTCACTATTTGAATTTTTATTTCATTGTCAAATCCAACTATTACATTTGAATCTAATTATTACAATGTATTAGCAATGATTTATATATTTAATTTAATACCTTTTGTAGATTTAAATTTAAACGTCATTACTAGTTCATATTCACTAATATATGCAATATACAAAATTTCCTTAGTACAAACTGTAAGTGAATTTATAAATTGTATACATTAGTATTATAAAACTATATGTACAGATTAATAAGTATGGAGTACTTTATATTTTATTTAATTCACATGAATATCTTTTTGGTTACAGGTATACAGTTCATCAAAGATTGTCCGCGCGAACCATATATTCCAGTTTATATGATAGTTGGTGGCATCCTTGGAGGAATTCGTATGTTCTGGACCCTTTATTCTCAAATCCGTTTAAGACGTGTACGAACCTTCACCGTACCGACAACCAGAACCCCCAATATAACGCCTCTGAAGTTAACCTCCATTGCACTTACCTGTTTTCTTCTTGTATGGTTTGGATTTGGTAAGTCTGCTATTTATTTTATTTTATGAAAGAGAACGAACGAACGACAGAGGGAGAGAGAGAGAGACATATTGATTCTTGCCATTCAGTTTAGAAATCGTCAATATACGCTAATTAGTGCATTTCATAAGGTGTGATATTGGCTTTACTACATACATTATGGATAATATAATTATAAATGTATTATAAGGTTTTATTAATATATTCAGTTAGAAACAAAAATACTGTAATCTTATTGTGCTTATAATTAAGAATATGATATTATTAAATAAAATAAAAAATTTTACACAATATTTAAATTTTTTATTTAAGCATATTACTTAAAATATATTATATAATAATTATTCGAATAATTATCATTTACATGGTTTTGAAAATATTTCGATAAATTATGAATGTCTTTTATTGAATCCAATTTATAAATTTTGTTGTAAAATAATTTAAGAGAGAAATAAAAATATATTTTAATTATAAAAGGTTATTAATGAATTATTTTTAAAAGTTTGTTTTCTAATACGATTATTTTGTAATTTTAATCATTTTAACAAATTTCTGCTATTTCTTATACATAAACTACGTAACGATTTACTATGAATTTTTTTTCGATAAAAGTTATTTACAGTAATATTAAGGTTTAGTTTTAAAATTTGTTAGAATATGTAAAAAATATATTTAAAATGAATAATTAATATATATAAGAAATAAAAATTTATTTAAGTTTTTTTTATCTTTGTAATGCCTTATATTACCGAGTGTAACATATATCTTTAGCGTATTCAATAACTCATTAGTTTATTTCATATTAATATCAACATTCAAAATAATTAATTACTAATCAAATTTAGGAAGTATTTAATATTTTTCATAAAGTTATAGTAAAAATTATAGATAAATATGAATATGTAAATATAATATTTATAATAATATAATAATAACATTGATATTAATAATTATAGTTTATGATCTATTATAATTAATTTCCAAATATTGTTTAATTCAAATACAAACATTATTCTGAAAAATATTGTTATCAGTCTCTGTTCAAGAGTGAAATGAAAAGCTCTCGAATAGTATTCATTATAAAAATTTCAACGACTATTATACAAAGAATTATTGAACGGACATAAAAATCTAAGAAAGTCTCATCAATGTTGCTGAAGGCTCGAAAAGGTTAGTATATCTGGAACATACTCGTAAACAGTCAGTTAATTGTCTTTCGTACTACAGACGTAGTAATTGTTTTGAATGTCATGAAGACCCTTGCGAATTACCATCAAAATCCGGTTAGCTTGTTTACTAGAGTATATTTTGAGGCTTAAATTATTTAAAAACAATTGAGTGAAAAGCATTTCTTAAAATCCATTGCAACCCGAAACTCGGCACAGCGACGTTCGGCAATCTGCGCCGCACGTGTACTTTCAATGCCACCAGCAAGCATGCATTGTTGTCAAGTACGACAAATGTTGCTGCTTGCATAGGCCAAGAATCAACCTCCGCCACGCTGAGGCCCGGAGAGGGGCAATTTTCCATAATATGCGTTGCCGCCAGAGATACTCCTTCGATATTCTTATTGTCTAAGCCTAATTTCTTCTGAAGTGAGAAAAGGGCGTGCACATTCGTGATGCAGTGGGGACTCATGGCAAGAGGCCTTAAAGGTAGGGACAATACAGCGAAAGATCGCGTTCCGCAGGGAGAATTCGAGCAAACTGTTCGCGTGGGTAGCCAAGGGATGTCTCTGTGGAAAAGTTAATTAGAAAAGGGCTATCCGGTAGAGAAGCCAAGTACTTGCGGAGATCCACTGACCAGAAGAAGATACATCAACCGTAGTATTCAATCGCCGACGGAAGGCCGATCACGCACGTTAGTGTTTGCCGCGTGTTTTATGGTAAATGACTCAACACAGAATCAGATCAAGGTACTGCATCACTGTAAATACACTGTCCTCACAACCTACTCAATTACTGCCAGCCGGCGGCAAAACCGGCACAACATGACCATTAACATTATCTCACACTCTGTGACAAGGAGTGTGCAGTAATTATTTGTCTTTACAATCCTTTAATTCAACATCAATTAAACGGTCTCAAGAGCATCTTGTGTAGTGAAACATCCCATACAAGAAACCGTTCAAGAAATCGTATCTTCACATTAGACTCAAGAAGATTCTACAACACCCATATGTAAATTGTGTAATAAATTGTATAATAAATGTATAATTAATCAATTCTCACGATTTTTGTACAAGCCCTTCCACCTATTTCTTTCCCGGGCGTCTGCTAAGATGGGCGGCAAACTAAGCTATTGAAGCATTGGCCGTTCGAGCCAAGAATTACATCACTAAAACGAACGGTCTCTGTTACTCGAATGTGTATATGATATTTATTAAAGTTTTTATAAAAATGTTATAGATCTTTTTATCTATAATTATATGTATCTGTTCGAAAATGTTTTATTTTCTGGCTCGAGCTGCCAAAGTTCGATAGTTCAATTAATTTGTCGCCCGCCTTAGCGGATGCTTCAATAAGATACTTGTTGCATAATATCTAATATGCTGTTAATCTTGTAAGGATCAGCAATGGATTGTGCATACTCCTTGATACAACTTATGTCTTATATTATGTTAATAATAGCCTTTGCTAATCTTGTAAGAATTGGCCAGGAATTGTGCATATTCAATTGAAGGAAAATGGAATTGTGATATGTTAATAATTGACGTTGCTAATTTTGTATGGATCAGCAAAGAATTGTGCACACTCTTTGGAATGAAGTATTGCTTATGCCATGCTATTAATAGCCGTTGCTGATCTTGTAAGGATTGGAAAGGAGTTGTTAATTGAAGGGAGTATGGCTTATTTGTAATTGAGGCCATTGCTAACAAATTGTAACGATTAGCAAAGAGTTCTGCATACTAAATTGGAGGGAGTATGACATATTTATGTAATAGTTACTCTCAAGAGAGATTACTGGTATACCTTGGTGATAAGAAGTACTTCGATACCATGCTTCTCGTAGTCGAATATTTTCTTATAATGCAGTCAACACCCTTCACTGTTTGTTAACTGTTGCGCACTGGAGAATTGACCTGTGTTCCTTTTGTAATGGCTTCACTGAAAGAGCGTGATGGAGTGAGTAATTCCTGTTGACTACTCAAGGCTGAACACCCTGGCTGCTACGTGTGTGTCTCGTGGTGTGCTTGCTTTAAATATCCACGCGGCAGCTTAGTTAGCTGGCAACAATGGGTAGGTGTTGCTATGCGGAGACTAGGCAAACTTGCAGGACATTCAAGAATAAAGCTTTAGAATGTTCGAGAATTCCGGGAAATCTAAGCTTAGGAGGTTGGAGAATTCCGAGAAATACAATGTTTAAAAAATTCGAGAACTAGAAGGCTTATAAATTTTCGAGAGTCAAAGGTCTTGGTAAATGCTCCAATTCTGAACAGCATCAAAACAAATAATTGAATATTAAATATAAAAGAATCTTTTTAAATAATTGCACTAAATATGAATCAAAACAGAATAAATATCGATTGTTTTATACCTTTTTTTATATTATTTTTTTTATACATTAAAAAAAAGATTAATTTAATGGTATACAAGTATTTTTATAACTTAAACAGGGGTAGATCTTTATCTAATAGTATGATAGATAGTTTATCTAATAAATGGTATCTATAAACATCAGGAATTCGTAAATGGTCGATGCACAATTATAGAATCAGAAACAAATTGAATTAAATTCAAGCTACTTTATATTTGTATAAGTTGAAGGAGTTTATTTTCTTAGTGCACTGATATCGTAAGTTCATTAGCCTCAATTTGTATTAGAAAAAGTAATGTTTATAATAAAATATCTAATATTCTAATGTAAAATAATTAATATGTGGTTATATATATTTTTAATTTTTAGAATTAAACTAAAATGTTATTATTAAAAAGCATTACAATGTTAATGTAAAATGTTATAGTAAAATAAAATTAATGGTATTGAATTAAAAATTTTAATTAAATAAATAGGATAACATAAATAACATGATTTCAAAAATGAGCAGACTAATTAAAAATATCTTATAGATGCTATTATATATATTTAATTTGAATGTTTATGAAAATTATAATGAATACATATTTATATGCATACAAATATATACAAATATATTTTAATCACTTTTTGTTCAAATCTTATAAATATAAAACTATTAATTTCTTATACAACGTGATTACATTACGTGCGTGTGTGTGCACGCGCGTGCGATTTACTATTTATTCATATTTCATATAGTATAAATATTATTTATAAGCGCTTATATATAATTGAAAATATTAATTGATTCATAATAGTTTAAATAAACAATTTTCTATCTCAAAATTTAAATACTTATTATCAATTAATTAATTTGACAAAAATCATCTACGGAAAGTTGAAAATAGAATATTTATTAAAATTATAAACTCAAAATTATTAGAATAAATGTTATTACAATAATACTAATTAAAATGGTTAATGATATTCTATTGTTACATTTATTATCATATTCATATCAAAATATTATTTATGGGAAATTTTATTTTCTAATTGTGTTGATAATATCTCGATTAACTATTATAAAATCGCTACAAAAATTTTTATTCATAATTACTTTTTAATGATATAAGTAATAAATTAATATACATTTTTATTTCAGGAAATTATTGGATTCTTAGTATACGATGGCCCAACTACAAACCAATGTTTTATGAGCGAAATTTATGGTGTGATAAAACACTTTACATCTTTTCTCTATCACATTTATGTGTAGTTTACATAAGCATGTTGCAGTCGTACTGGCATGTATAAGCCTGTTGTTATGCAGGATTCTCGCATGTCCGTGGCCAGAAAGGTAATTCAACAGTGAAATTTTATTAAATATTTAAATTATTTGTTAAAATTTATTTAAAATAGTTAATAAATAATAAGTGAGTTCATTAAAAGTCATTAATATAAATAATTCAAAAACTATTTATGTATACTGTAAAAGAACAACAGTAAAAAAATACTTCATATAATAAATTAATAACATCATAAATAATAGTTATCCTAAATAATAACAAGAATTTTTCATAAAAAAAATGCAAACATTATTTTATTTCAATAAATGACAGTCAATTGGAATCGAATATGAAAATCATATTTCAAATAAAATATTAAGCATATTAAAGCAATTAATCATACATCAAGCGTATCCAAAGAATCAAGAAACCGAGTAACGAGTGTTTTTCAACTAGAAGCGGTATAAGAAAGTTCCTAAGTTTATGCATTTAATTATCATCTAATCATTCAAACTTTAAACAAATGCTTTAATTACTTTTTTTTTGCTTCTATAATAATTGAATATTATTGTTACGGATTACAACAGTTTTAAGCGGAATACAAAGTTGGAGAGGTATGAGCGCGCGAAGCATTGTTTGGTAAACATTGGCCAACGGACTTAACGAATGCTTCTAACCGAAAAACTAGAACATACGACTATAATTCCGAAAAATAATAACAAATGAACCCGACAAGCTACGCCCTATTGCCGTCACGACAAATAACGGCATAGTAACAGCCATCGATGCGCTATCGACGCATCCAGTTCGTACGAGAATGTGAAAGGAGATGGACGTGTCGCGATTGCCCTGCTAGTACCAATCATGCACTCTTCACATCGGGATCGCTATCCAACCTTGCCATCGTCATTGGGAGGCCATGGCAAGCATCAATCAACCTAAGGAACTAATAGCGATGCCACAACTATACTGGCACCCACGCCTCCGTAAGCAACGCAGATGCTCGTTCCTTACTACTTCTTCTAGTTAACAAGCACCCATCACGACAGGACCGTCACTACTCTACATTCGCGGTTTACGCCCGCATCGGTTTCTGCCAACACAAGTAAGATGCGACCAGACGCTCGTTCTTACTATCTCATCACGCGGTTCCTGCTACCACCTCACGCAGTTCCCGCCACCACGTGCAAGCAACGCTTACGCTCGTTCTTGCATATTACCTTACACCGCGGTTTACGCCCGCATGTAAGTAACACCGACGCTAGCTCTTACCTTTACCTCTACACCGCGGGTTACGCTCGCATCGAGCACACGAACGTGCACCAATATTACCACTACCTTGGAGCTCAAGGACACAAGCTGTGACGTCACACGGACGTTCTCCCACCACTTCGTACACTACAGCTCACCCCTTCGCCGGCTGCCAAGACGGCACTAACTTGCCTCCCCTACCACCACGAGTTCCCCGCTACAACTACTCAACCACAAGGAAGAAGAGGAATCACGCTCCAGGATATCAAGAACACACTTACAAACTTATCGCCACCACCATTACTGAAGAAACACCAATATATTCATTATATCATACACTCATTCCAATATTAATAGATTATTAACTACTCATTACTTATTATGTTTAATAAAGTAAAGACTACAAGCACAAAAGACAGTATTGAATAATTGCATTGCCCCTCCCACTTGCCAGCAAGCCTCCACCCACCCTCATAAGGCGGTTTTTAGTCTGATCTCAGACAATTATAAAATTGAAAAAGGTATGCAAAGAATTATGAAGAACTGTCAATGAAAATAAAATTGATTATTACACTATAAAAGAACTTAATGATTAAAGATGTGAAGGTATTAAAACATAGAATAATTATTTATAATTTAGAAAATTTTATTTATGAAAATTGTTTTATGAATGAATAAATTTTATGAATAAAAACAAACTATCGTTAAAATTATAAAAACTTATAAATAAATTATGATTATTTTTTGGCGATAATTGTGTATTATAAATGAGTTTATTTACTTTACAATAATATACAAATTATATAAAATAATTTTATAAATATTTATAAAATAAAATAAAATAAAATAATAAAAAATGATAGAAAAATTTATTCTTATCGATTTTTATTTATTTATTTTGATGACTCTTTATATAAAAATTATACGTTTTATTTATATAAAAATAAAATTTTATGCTATTACAATTAATTCAGAATTGATACCAACATACATAGTTAACTAATGGGTACAGTAATTATAATAAAAATTCAATTTATATTCTTTGCAGATACAAGCATTAAAATTTTATAATTACACTGTGGCTAGGCAGTCTTAATTATATTTATATTTGCAATAGATATTTCTATTAAAAGTAGATGTAGAGTATATCTATAAAAAGGAATGTTTACTATGCCGATAGAAAAAATATTGTCCTTAAAAAAATTTGTATTACAGATAAATAACCAAATTTTATTAATAATATACAAATTTGTTAAGTATTTATTAGTATAAAGATATATTATTTATTATCTACCAATACAATTTTAATTTTTGTTATATTATTAATTTGCAAATTTCTCAAAAAATAGGAATATATATAATTAGTTTATGTCATTTATAGTTTTAAATTTGTTGTTTTATCAATATGCTGAAAATAACTTTATTGTATATAAAGAAATATTAGAAAATAAATTAGAAAAAATGAAACGTCAGTTTATTTAAATTTCAACCATACAAATATTATTTAAATATGTCTAATAAAAAAATTAAAGTCATTCCTTGTTTTTACAAAAGTTATAATATTGTAATAATTAATTATATATTAATTAAAACACATTAAATTTCTATGTTACATAATATTTAATAAATATTATCTATATGAGCTATATAGTATCATATAAATTTTTATATATTAAAAAAAAGGATTTATATAATAATAATTTGTATTAAAAAAATTATTTGAATCCATTTAATTTTGTTTTCAAGTAGTCATATACTTATTTCATTTTCTCTAAATGAAAGCATTTATGATTTTAAATAAACGCATTACAAAGTACCAAGAAACTTTAAATACAGCTGTCTGTATTTAAATTTATTACTTGCCTACAGTTTTTAATCTTTATTATCATTTGATATGATTGTCTAATTATTCAACATCAAATGCGATTAGTAAACTGGAGATTATGAAGTATGTTGTAATCGCAAATTAAATGGATTTTGACTTGGCTAAATTGCCTCATATTTAATTTTCATCAATTAGAATCTGCTTCTAGAAATTTTTAATATAGATTAAAACATTGTGAAGGTTTCAAATAAATTTAATAGTATAAGCGATTAAAAAGTTAAAGTTATTTGGTTTCATTTATAAAAATATAATAATTGAATGAATCTTTATGTCTTATTTTTTTTTAGAAATAATTAAATTGAATCAAAATTGCTTGTAAATAATGTATCTTAATTATTATACAAATATATTACTGGGAAAAAATTATTAATACACTTTATGATGTAATAATAAATTTGTCGTAAGTTTAATTTTTCAAAAATTTTATTCGAAAGTGCGGTTCTTTTAGTTACGAATGGCATTAAAAATTTTTGTTAAAACCAATCGTGTTTTATATCTTATGCAATAAACCAATCGACTTTTGATTTTACAACAAAAAATTAAGGTATATGCAACTTCCTGCAAACCACGCAATGAAAATAAATCGTCTACTTTCACAAACTCATTCGAATGCAATCTGCTGTGCATGTTGTTTATCGTTGATCACTCTTATACATCAGAAAAATTTTATAATTAAATGACTTCTGTAAATTAACTACGGATTTTATAAATGTTATATAATTGATAAAAATAAATATCGATGATCTAATATTTTAATAACAGATTATTAATTTTTTTTTTTTATTCATTTTATAGAAATAAATATGTATAAATCTATAATTATATGAAATATCGATTTTTCTACAACTTTAAAATTTTGAAAATTAATAATCCAATAAAGTTTTATATTAATATTTCTCAAATATTATATTTATACAAGTATTTAAATAGGTTGTATTTAAATAAAAATTATACCGATTAAAATTATTACAAGTAAAATTTAAAAATAACTATGTAAAAAATTAATAATGATATTATATTTTAATGTTCATTAATTAAAAATATCTACATGAAATATTTATGTTAAAAACTGATGAAATAATGAATTTTTCAATATGATTTTTCGTCTTACATACTCAAATGGTAGCTAGTCTAAGTTTTTTTTATCTAGGTATTATAATAAATGGCAATTTTTAAGAGTATGTAGTTACTAATTATAAATATATATTTCTGTATCAACATGGAGAAAATTTCATGTAATATGTAAAATATTTCGAGGGTTTTATCTGGTTAAAAAGATTTTTTTTATATTGTTAGGAATATAATCAATTATTAATATATGTGTAAGAAATGTAATCGATAAATATGCATATTTTAAGCTTGCAATCTGAGAAAGCTGATTACAAAGTTACTTTTTGGATCTTAATAACTTTATAATATGAAATGATTCGAATGAATTATATTTAAAATTTCTCTTCTGATCATATAATCACGCATATGCTTTTTCATATGCTCATAAATTTGGCATGAAATTTTATGAAGATATTGATTTTATGCGATATATTTAATTAATTAGGTCTACTTAAAATAAAAATTCTTTTTTATTTATTTTACTACTGTAGTAAATAAGAGATACATCATTTTTCATGTTAATAATTCGATCATAATAAATTAATAATAATAAAATAAAAAATAATCATAATTAGTTAATAATTGATAATTATATTACTTATACTTTAAAAATTAACTCAATTATACACACATAAATTCAGATTATTTTCAAATATATTTTAACAAATAAAAATTTTTTTTTCAAAGATAATTTGAGAGTACCTTTTAATAATTCAATATTTTATAATTTATAATGAAGAGGGGAATATGAGGAAGAGTTACTGAAAAATTTTAGAGTTGTA